TCAACTGAATTAGCTATATCATCAGATAAAATATAATTGAACATATCAGTACATAACAGAATTAACAGAAATACAACTTTGTATAGTGTAGAGCTACAAAAATAGGTAGTAATCAAATCAGAATGGATATTGTGGTGAATCATTGTCATTTTCAGTATAGTTGTCTATACTCCTCAACTTGATACCAGCAGCCTAACAGTTATGATTAAAATCTGTCAATAATAAGCAGTATTCAAACAAGGCAGATTTATGACTTTTGTATCAGTCATGATACAACAGTATAAGTCATACAAGGATCCTGATTGAGTTAATAGGAAATTAAAGATGACCACTGTGCTATCTTCGTGTCAGCTGTCTGTGCCCTCAGATCCACTGCATGTATACAAAGTAGGATGAAACAAGTTCCAACCAAGAAGAGTGGTGTGAGTAATAAGAGTTTTAATTCCTGATACACTATTAGCTAAATCTTCTGCTGTTTTTTTTTTTTTGAACTGTTCCTCCCCTTACTCCCCCAGAATGAACTGTGTATTTTCGGGTCTCCCCATCACTCATGGTTTTATATTGGCGGGGGGGGGGGAGCAGCCTGCTATTTACCTAAGTATTTCTGTACTTTCTCACTCCTGGGTTGGATTTCTAGTTATATTTCTTCATTTATTAAAGCTGGCTGTTCAACCTATCCATAAATACTGGCCCAGTTACCCCTATTACTTTCTGGTTCCCTATCACTTTGAGTTCCATTTTCTCATATTTGATTTTGGTCTATATAACCTTCTTCAGGCTCATTATATTTCCTATAAAGAGTCTCTCAGTGGACCCTACCTCTTGATCCACTCTGCCTGCGATTCTTTCTTTTTTCTCTTACGTTAGTATATTTAGGCCATCTATATTAGAAATTATATCCAACCTTCTTTGCCTGTTTTCTGTTGTGCTCTTTTTCTGTCATTAGTTGTCTGTTTGTCTTTTTCATTTCGCTTTCTACTTCATTCATTGTGGCCTCTGCCATTGTTTCTGGTATCCTGGTACTTTTCTCTCTCTTTAGAATGTCCTGCAGTATTTTTTGTAGAGTTGGATTGGTGGTTGCAAATTCTCCTAGTTCCTCTTTATCTTGGAAGCACCTTATTTCTCCATTAATTTCTAGGGACAGTTGTGCAGGATATATCAATCTTGGCTGGAGGTTATTGTCTTTCAAGGCTTGGATTATTTTGCCCCATGCTCTTCGAGATTTTATGGTTTGTGCCGAGAAGTCTGCTGTAATTCTGATGGGTATTCCCTTGTAAGTGATCTGTTTCTTGTCTCTGACAGCTTTTAATATTCTGTTCTTGTATTAGATTTCTGGAATCTTTATTATATGCCTGGGTATAGTTCTGTTTTGATTGTAGGTGGCTGGAGTTCTGTATGCCTTATACATCTGAGCATCTTTCCTTTTTCCTATGTTTGGGAAGTTTTCCCTTATTATTTCTGTGAATAGCCTTTGTAGTTCATTTGTTTGTGTCCCTACTTCTTCTTTTATGTTCTTAATTCTTAAGTTATAGTTCTTATCATCTTCTAGCCTTTGTATTATTGCTGTTTTCTTGTTATTTTTAAGAAGTTTTTTCCTTTCATACTCCCACATTACAAATCTGTCCTCCAGTTCAGATAATCTATTCTTAGTTTCTTTCAAGCTGTTATGCCAGCTTTCAATAGAGTTTTTAGTTTCCTGGTAATCTCTTTGAAGCTGCTTCATGTATTCTATGTTTCTGTATTTTCTCCATCAAACAATTCTCCCCTTTTTTGTATTCTCCCATTCCACCATCTGTTTTTTCTTGGGAGGTGCTTAGCATTTGTTTAACTATTCTACTTATATCTTGCTATACTTGGTTAAATACTTCACTTTTAAACTTATCTATGAGGTCCTAGAGATATTGCTTTATGTCTATTGATGCCATGCCTGATATTGCATGTCCTCATTCTCCTTTGCATTTACCTTTCTTGGATCAGTATTCTCAGGATTGGGGACCGAGGACCAGGACCGAGGACCCTTTCTTATTGCCTCCTCTTCTCATATTATTTGTTCCTTCCATACAGGCATATATAGGAGGCCCAGTTTCTTTGTCAGTTACAGTTTGTTTGAATTGCGCTGGCTGGGTGTTCCTGTCTGCTGCAGTGTACTAGGGAGACACAGATTGGGGCAGCCTATGCTGGGCCCACCCCTACAGGTCAGTCAACCTGCTGAAGGCTTCACTGCATTAGGGTACACTGCCAGGCACAGGGACCTGGTTTGGGCTAGCCTATTGAGTCAGTCTGCGGTGTCACCCAGCTCAAGCGCTCCCCACCAATCCCACTTGAGAGGGGAATATGTGACTGAAGTCACTGCAGCACCCTGTTCTGGCCAGTGTGCCTGGTCCCAGAATGTCCTCGTTCGAGCCTCCTAGTCCATGGAAGGGTCCTTTCACTCACCACAGGTCGATGCAGGGCTCCCCGCCATTTGGTTCACCGATTCCCGCTCTCAGAGCTTTCTTATCTCTATCCCTGCTGTGCGGATTCAGATGCAGCAGCGGCAGCATCTGCCTGTGGCTTGAATTCAAGCGGCAGCACTGAGACTTTAGCTGTTCCATTTGTAGCACCGGGATTGCATTTCCGATTGTTTTCTCTTAGATTAGTTCGTTCCTGGGTCGGCAGGGTATATCTCCCTCTGCTAGGACTCCCCACACCGCACCATTCCTGGAATCTAAGCTGGCTATCTCAGAGAGCCTCCATAGTTGCCGTTATCCACCATCTTCTCCACTCCCTCCGTATTTTTAAGCTTTATCTGGTCCTCACGATTTTTCTTTCAGTCTTTCTTTTGAAAGGAAGGTGGAAAGCTGGAATGGTAGAGCACTCCTATAATCCCAGCACTTGGGAGGCTGAGGCAGGAGGATCATTGCAAGTTTGAGACCAGTCTGGACTACAAAGTGAGCTCAAGGCCAGTCTGAACAGCATATCAAGACTGTCTCAAAAAGACTTTTTTAAAAAGTGGAAATTAACATTTACAAGGTTTTTAAATTTTGCTTTTAAAAAATCAAATATGGGGCTGGGGATTTAGCTCAGCGGCATAAGCGCCTGCCTTGCAAGCAGGCAGTCGTGAGTTCGATCCCTGATACCAATAAAAAGCAAAAAGACAAAAAAAAAAAAAATCAAATATATAGTGTATGAATTTTTTTTTGTCTTTTTTGTTTTTATCGGTACTGGGGATTGAACTCACGACTGCCTGCTAGCAAGGCAGGCGCTTATGCCGCTGAGCTAAATCCCCAGTCCCCAGTGTATGAATTTTTAAGAATTATCATACAGAAATGTGTTTTAACATCAATTAGGATATAAAGTTTGCTGGTTTTTTACATTTTTTATTTTTATTTTTTGGTATCAGGGATCAAATGACCTTGCACTTGCCAGGCAGGTACTTATGCTGCTGAACGAAATCTCCAGCCCCAGGTTTTCTTATTTTGTAGTAAGTACTGAAGAAAATAAAGGAGTATCAAATATATTAGTTTTATATTAAATTCACAGTAAAATTAGCACAAATAGAAAATTCTACTTTTGAGTACATAATTTGTTAAAGAAGTATTCCTTGTAATTTTTATGTATTTCATATATTGGTAAAATTCAAAACTACTTTTTCACTTCAGGTTTTTATCTCAAGTTTGGGGTGGATGGGGTAATAGCTGCAACTTTTTAGTAGAAGCCTTAACTGATGTTTTATAAATAAATGACTTTTCTATGGGTTTGGAGAGTATCACTTAGTTAAATGGCATATTCATTCAAATAGGTTTAATTGCAAGGAAGAATTGAAGGAAATAACTACACAGTTGAGATTTTGTTTTTGAACCAAGCTCCGAGCAGGCACCCTGCTGCTGACTATATCCCTGACCCCCTGTAGAGTTGAGATTAAGTCTGAGCCATTTCTTTGAGGCAGCTCTATTATGAAACATTATTTGATAAATTATCATCTCAGTATCAAATATTGTGATCCCTTTTCTAATTTTCCTTACAATTCGCAAAGTTTTTTTTTTTTTTTTTTTTTTTTGTCTTTTTCCTTTTTATCGGTACCGGGGATCGAACTCACAACTGCCTGCTTACAAGGCAGGCGCTTATGCCGCTGAGCTAAATCCCCAGCCCCACAATTCGGAAGGTTATAATTGTAATTCCATGGAGATGTTATTGGAATCCCAGCAAGTTAATTCCAATCTACCCCTCCGGTGAAAGTAAAGACACCAGGAGAAAGTAAAGACACCAGGATATATTCAAAGTTAAGCGCAGCCATGGGGTCCATGTGAGGATAAAGGCCTTGATCCAAGGCCTCTCCCAGAATGAAGAAGGATGAGTGACAGTGAGGATGGCAGGAACTGCATGAGTAACTTGAGCTGGCCAAGTAGGGAGAAAAGCATCTTAGCAGTATGCAGGGAGAATGACATACAGAAGGATCACTTGGTAATTCAATTAAGGTAGCTGCAGGGCTAGCTGCAGCTCTAGGTGTAGGGGGGAGGGGTGAGAGGCTGAGAAGATAAAGAAGAGACAAAAGCTAGGAGCTGATGGATAAACTATACCATGTTTATTTACATACTGCATACTCCCTACACTCTGAAGGACAATTTCAGCCCCACTGCCTGGCAACTTGTTTGCCTGGCTGGCCTGGGCCCCTTACCTTCTCGGTGCAGGAACAGCTTTGTTTAGGTAGATTCTTTTGAGCTTTCTGTTCTCAAGGCTGGTCTTGCTTTAGCCCCACATATGTGATCAGTCTCCAGCTTCAGTGGCTTTCTACAGGTAGCAATTTGAATTGTTTAGGAGGCTGTTGCTTCAGCTTCTGATATGTAAATTTTTGTACCCCGGGGACTCATAGCCTCTTTATTTTGAGGATTATACCTAGTGGACATTCCTGGAGCTGACTGGCTCTGCTATCCCACTGTGCCCATATCATTTACAGGGCTCACTGTGTGTGAGGAAACAGGAGACTGTCAGAATGGCCCCACAGATTGCATATCAGTACTTCTGACTTTTCCTGCATTGCTTAGAGCCAGCTGAAGAGAGAATTATCATAGCCAGTACACCAGTATGTGGGAATAAGACTGTGTACACCAGTATGTGGGAATAAGACTTAACAGCTGTTGCAGCAGTTCTGAATTCAGGAGGTGCCCATGTAGTCTTTGTTTTTCTAGAAGCTGGAATTCTTGGAACCACATTGTGGTGATCCACCAATAAAGTAAGAAGGTAATGGTACCTTCTCAGTTCCAGTGGGGAATGGGATAATTTATTAGTTTTGTAAACAATTTATTCTTGGTCTTTCTGATGGGGTAAATTTTTAATGTTTTGGGTGTTGAAAGACATTCACTTTCATTTTTTTTCACTTTGTTTTTAATTTTCCACTCCATTTTTTGTTTGACAGAACTTTATATTTCTGTCTGAGACTATGCATTGGTATAGGACCCTATTTTATCAATAAATATGAATGGTTAAAAGTGGAAAAGAATGTTAGACTTGAAGTAAATCAGTGGGAGAGATACACTGCTAACCACAAGACTTTAAAAGGAGACACGACATTTCAGCAGCAACAAGAATCTAAGAATTACAAATGTGTCTTGTGTTTAAACAGCCTCAAAGTACCAGCAACAGCAGCAGAAAGTGGGCAGCTGACAACCACACAGTGACACTATAGGAGACTGCCTTGTGGGGACCGTGTGGGTCACCAGATGGACAGTAGGGAGGCTGTAGGTCTCCACACAATAGCCAGCACCTGAAATGTTCATGACCCTGTTCCTTGTGAGGGAAAGATGTGCTCACAAGGGTAGGTGGCACAATCGTCACAACAGCATTTCTGATGGGTCTCAGAGGGGACAGCTGGGTGGCCACCCTGCCTTCTGTGGTGGCCTTGAGCTTTGCCTGGACACCTGGTGAACCCTGAAGCAAGGCTGTGGAGAGTAAGGCCTGTCACTAGTCTGTAATGCTGATTTGATGGGGGTTGAAAGGGTGTCAATACCATGCAATACCACCCACCCAAGGCACATTGGGACCACATTGTGGGAGAGAGAGACCCAAGGGAGAGACCTAAGGGGAGCTTCCCATGTGCATCCCTGTGCCTTGGTCTCAGTAATACCGCAGCCCAGGGGCAGTCGTGCGCTTCACCCAGCTGCAACTGTGGGAAGTCGGCCAGCCAGCAGTCCCCAGTCCACAGTATCACAGAGGATCCTGGCCTAGTTTAGGTGCCAAGTTCTGTGGTGCTTTTTAGGCAGAACAGATACTCATGTACAGAAATGGATGCTGCGGTCACAGAAAGTAGAACATGTGGCACTGGCTATGAGATCTACAGGCAGGGCCTCAAGGAGACTACTGTAGCTTAAAGAGCACCCAGACACTAGAGACTCAAGGACAGTGAACAAAATGCCTCTGACACCTGGAGTTGCTTCGTACCCCCACAAGCAGCTGAGAGGGTCGCACCGTCTCATGTTCACAGAGTAAGGGTGCTTGCCTTCCTTGGGTCCACACTGAAACATTCTGGTCACCAGCAAAGAATTTCAGTGTAAGAAATGGCTTTGTGGCCAAGTGCAAAGCCCAAAATATTTTCAGTATTTTAAGGCTTTAGTATGTGACACAGAAGAGTGCCTGCTAATGTCCCCAAGCAGGCCTGCCTGAGGGTGAAGGTCTGTCCCAGAGTGGAGCTTCTTTAGTCTAATTTGTGCATCCTGGCAGAAAGGAAGCTCATTTTGTCTAAAGAAACAACCAAACTGAGTAACTTGTTATGCCAAAAGTATGGGAGGCAAGATAAAGAAAAAATATAAGCACAAGACAGTTAAGCTAGTTATACAGCCAGTTTGTCTTGGTTCATTGAAGGGAAAGTTGTGCTAGTAATTTTCTGGACAAGTGTTTCATATCTATCTTATACCTGAACAACTACTGTCACTATAACAATAAGCAATGTGTTGATTATTGTTACTCTCCTACTACCCTGTTTTGAAACTGTTTTACTGTTACTTTTTTTTTTTTTTTGTACCGAGGATTGAACTCATGACAGGCACTTTTGCCACTGAGTTAAATCCCTGGCTCTTCTTAATTTTTAAAAATAAAAATAAATAAAAAATAGAACAGATCACTGACATTAAGTGGGGAAAACATCATTCACCCTGTGAAGTTCATACACTACAGATAATTTTAGGGCTTAAAAAAATTGATAGGGGTAGTTACAGTTTTTTTTTTTTTTTTTGAGACAGGGTCTTGCCATGTAAATGCAGTCTGGAAGTCACTACATAGCCCAAACTGGGCTTGAACTCACAGTGATCCTCCTGCTACAGTTTCCTGAGTGTGCAGGGATTACAAGTGTGACACCATGCCCTGCAGGGCTATGTATTTTAAAGCAACGTGTATTCTAAATTGACTTCTGTGTTAGAAAAATAACTTTTAAAATACTTTATTTTGACTTAATTGTGGCAAAATGAATACTATTAAGCACAAAGTCAGGATGACAAACATTTGCAGATCTTGTGATCCTGGGCCGGTCACTGTTCCTAGAATTCACTTTTTAAAAATGTTGGCAAATCTTTCCCTCACTCAGCATCAGGACAGAAGGAGCATGAGCGCAGACTCTAGGTGACAGACTTGCCATAACTGAGACACTGAGTAGAAGACACCGCCAGGAAGACCATTACTTCTCCAGCCAGGTGCACCAGGTGACCTTGCCGAGGGCCCCGCCCACCCGCTCAGCTCCATTCTCCTAGCTTTTCCGGAAACGAAGACACCTCCCGACACCGCCCAGTGTGTGGCGGCTCCCGGGTCCAGGGTTACTGAACGCATCCTGCGCCATAAGGCCAGGGCCATGTGGGGCCAGGCTTTCCACCTTTCAAGACTGTTCTGCCCCTGTTCCCTCAGGTGGGGTTTCTGTTCGCGGAGTGCGCTTCCCAAAAGCCGCAGCACCTGCTTAACCGGAAAGACAAGGAGGCCACCATCCCGTGCTCTGATCTCCCAACTCGCTCTTTCTGGAAACCGGGTCTCGGGAAAACTCCGGTGAACTCGAACTGGCGTTGGCAGCAGGCTGGGCAAAAGAAACCCAGTTAAGTACAACCGCCACCCAGGAAGACGTGCGCACGTGTCACTAACGCAGCGGGACTCAACGCCACAGGTGAGGACCAGGAACCTTCCCGTCCCTCACAGTGCTCACAGCACTGCAGAGAGCGAGGCCGAAGGCGCCGTCGGCCAAGCCGGCGACCCGGCTCTAACCTAACCCTGCGGCTCTGGCGCACGCGCAGGCCCCCATTAGGCCCTGCGGCTGCGCGCCACCCCCTGGGAAAGCCACCGTCAGCCCCGTCCCTGCACCCACTCCAATGGCCAGGTTCCAGGCACTGCCCATCCAGGATCTGCGGCAGTCGCTCCCACTCGTGCCCAGGGCGCCTCCCTCCACCCACTACCAACCCTTTGACACAGAGCGGAGCCCCAGAGCTCGGGGAGCAGCCGGCAGAGCGCCTCTTTCCCCTAATTCCGTGGGAAGTCGCGGAAGCGGCGCATGCGCAGAAGCCCTATCCTCAAGGTCCGGTACAGATGACGTAGCTGGAGAGCCTACTTTCCCACGGGACAGGCGGCATCGCGGGACCCGGGAGGCTGCTTCTCCACTTCCGGAAGGGTGGCTCGGCTGCCAGCGTGGCCTGTTCGCTGGTAGTGGTCACTCCTGATCAGTGCCTCATTGGAGGAGTTGGCGTTTTACTAGATGCTGGTTTTACAGTCCAGGACATTGTGGGAATAATGTGAAATTTCGAATGTGGGCATGCAGTGCTTTAACTTTTTAGTTTGGCTAAATGGCATTGCAGTTATTCGATCCATTTGTTTTAGTGCATTTTAAAGCATGAAAAGTCTCTGTTGTATTTAATTCGTTTTATTCTTGAGACAGGGTCTTTGTAGTTCAGGCTGGCCTTGAACTTTCTGTGTAGTCCAGGTTTGCCTCGAACTAGGAGGGATCCTCCTGAGTGCCAGGTTTACAGGTGTGCACCACCACGTCCAGCTCAAAGTCTCTATGATGGTTTGTGTCTGGGTACTCTCCCCTAAAGCCTCATGCAGTCATGGAGGCCACTGAGTCTAGTGTTGGGATTGGTGATGTGAATGCTGCATTCTGCTAGGGGCAGGTGCCAGCATACAGGATAAGGGAGAGAAGGAGATGTGCGTTCCACTTTTGCCCTTTTCACTCATGTTGCTGTGGCCTCCATGAACAGCTCCCTCTCAGCTTCGTCACTGTCTTGGAGCCAGCTGAGTATAGACTGAAACTTCCAAAAACTGTGAGCTAAATAAACATTTTCTTCCTTCATATTGTCAAGTATTTTGTCTCAGTAATGATAGAAAAGTAACCAAAGCATTTAAAATATATTAAGAACCAGGAAAGCAATATTAATTGATACATTAAAAAATGTTCACACCCACTAGAGCATCATCAATGGGCTGAAGCTGTCCTAGTGGGATAAATTTCTCTGGTAAACTCTGAACAAAAACAGTAGGGTTTATTTAATAGGGTAGGTGCACTCCACAGGCCTTGGGCCAATTACACACCAGTCTCTTGATAATTATTTGCCAGGACTCTGAGCTTCACCAAACCATCTGTCTTTCTAATCTTCTGTTGGTTGATTTTTCTTTTGTTGTTAGACCCACACTTTGCTTTTCCTTCCCTAGTTTTGGCTGCAAACTAAACAAGTTCTGTCAGGGGTTTCTCAGAACTGCCACCACTGCTGTTCCTGTGAATACGCCGATGCATTCCTCTAATCCAGCACTTAGGAAGACTGAGACATAAGATTTCAAGTTCAAGCTTTGCTTGGAAAACTTAAACATTGGTGAGATCCTATCTAAAAAAAAAAGTTTGGGGATGTATCTCAGTGTGAAGACTGAATTCAATCCCAAATACCGAAACACAAACATGAGCAAAATCTCCTATAGGTCAGAGGTTTTCACCCCTGGACCACAGTGATACCAGTCTCATTCTGTGGCCTATTAGGAAATGGGGTGGCAGCCAGGAAGTAGTGGTGCACATCTGTAGTCCCAGCGCTCAGGAGGCTGAGGCAGGATTGCTGTGAGTTCGAGGGGGTCAGCCTGGGATACATAGTGAGTTTGAGGCCAGCCTGAACTACATAGACCCTATCTCAAAAAACAAAACAGCCCTCCCCTCCTCACAAAACTGGTGCACAGCAGCCAGGAAGAGAGTTCAGCCTTCCGAGTTTATACCTGCTCCTCACCTCCGATTACCACTGTGGTCTGCTCAGCAGAGGAACCCAGTTCTCAGGCCCAGCTGTGATCCATCTGGGAATGTAATGCCCACTGGAGCATAGCAGACACTAGTTTGCAGACACTGCAAGCAGCTGCAGATCCAGAGAAATGCTGATCCATGGTATAGACTGTGACAGCTTGCAGACCAGATCAGAGCCTTCTAGGCAATGGCAGCAACTTGGCACAGGCCTCCTCTTGGCGAGCAGGTTTATCTGTGAAGGTCATGACCTGGTACGGGCGTGACCACCTCATTTTCCCCCTGGTTTCCAGGATGCCTGGCTCCTCACTGCACTTTCTCAGTCCTTCTGGCTCAGTTGTCAGGCCGTCCCTCCAAAAGGAAGATGAAACAGATGTCACTGGAGAACCTTTTTTTAAAAAATCTTTTTGAGACAGGGTCTCACTGTGCAGTTCAGGCTCCACTTGAGCTCACTTTGTAGCCCAGGCTGGTCCTGAACTCACAGCTATCATCTTGCTTCAGCTTCCTGTGTGCTGGGATTATAGGCATGTGTCGCCACACCCAGCTTGGAGAACCTTTTTGAAAATGGGGAAAACCATGATGACACAGAAGACTAGACTGACAACAGAGAGTGCAGAAGACAAAATAAGAACTCTTGGCCGGGGATTTATCTCGGTGGTATAAGCGCCTGCCTTGCAAGCAGGTAGTCGTGAGTTTGATCCCTGGTACCGATAAAAACGAAAAAGACAAAAAAAAGAACAAAATAAGAACTCTGCTTTAATTCCATGCTGAGTGAAGCAGGTGGCTGGCATTCTCTACTGCTGCTGCCACCAGCCAGCTCACTACCTGAGGTGACTCCCATTTGCAGATTGTTTGCTACTTAATATTTGATGCAGGCTTGTTTTTTTCTTGTATCTGTGTGTGGCAAAGCTGCTCTGTGATTTGTTATGGTGGTACTTTCTTCGTTAGGTTTTAGGATAAGGGTAATACTGGCCTCATTAAATGAGTTGAGCAATATGACTTCCTCTTGGAAATATTTTGTGAGAAGTTGGTATTTGTACACCAGTTGAAGCAGAATCATCTTTAACACTGTGTTACCACAAAAAAAAAGTACAAATCTCAGGCAGGTGTAGTGGTGTACACCTGTAATCCCAGTACACTGGGAGGCTGAGGCAGGAGGATCACAAATTCCAGTCCCACCTGCACAACTTAGCAAGACTGTCACAAAAAACACAGAGGCAGGCCATGGCTCATTGTGAAGGTCCCACTTTCAATCTCTGGTACCCAAACACGAAAACAAAAGGACAGCTTTTATTGGGTAGGGGTAGAAGTCTTGATGTGAAAACCATGTGGGTGACCAGAAGCACCGGGATGTGATGCAGGGCAGTGTCCTAGGGCCACCACCCAAGCCGCGGCTGCTCTGGGTGGGCGCAGGTGCAGTCCCTGAATGTGCTGGCATACAAGTCCGCACTTCTGGAGGCTCAGAACGTGGCTGGATTCGGATGTGGTATGTGGTCACCACGGATGTCAGCAGTGCAGGCGCAGACAGGATGGTGTGGAGCCCAGGACCTGCATCCTTCATGCAGGGACCCTGGATACAGCCACTGGCTGCTGGCAGATGCAGCAGGGGAGGCCAGAGTGGCTTTCACATGCACAGGTGCGACATGCCCCAAACTGAGATGCGCACCTGCACCTCCCCCGCACCTTGCCGTGGACTGAGACCCTGCTGGAGGCCGTGCCACCCTGGGAACAACACGCTGGCATGGGATGCTAGCACCAGCATGGCGCACGCTCCTGGCCGAACCCTGTGTTCTTGGTCAGTGGGCCTCAGGCATCCCTCAGATGACACATCGGCTGCCGACCTCTGTGCTGTGAAGAAAAGCTGGCCGAGATTCAGCCGCTGGGTGTGGTGGTGCAGCCATCCTCCCAGCACTCCACATGAGGCTGAGACAGATGGATCTCATCTGAGCCCAACTAGTGAAATTGTTTCCAGAAAGTGCACCTGTGTGTGTGTGTGTGTGTGTGTGTGTGTGTGTGTGTGGTGGATGTGGCACAGTGAGAAGGTCCTGGTTCAATCCCCAGTGCTGCAAAAAACTAAAACGAAAAGCCAAAACCACAACTGAGCCGTCTTTTATCGCACCAAGGAGCAGCCAAGGCACCAGCCTTTGGACCCCAGGTAAACTGGGCAGGCCATGCTGGTCGGCACCTCCGTGGCGTTCAGGGCAGGCGGGCAGGGTGCTGAGGGCCGGCTGGGAAGCCAGCGCTGCAGACGTGGCTGGTGGTGCCAGTGGGCCTGTGAGCCAGAGCCGGAGCTGCGCTCAGTAGGAGTTAAGTGCCTGCTTGGAGCGGCGCTTCATGTGCAGGCGTTCGTGGCGCAGGAGCCCACAGTTCTGCCCGAAGCTCTTGGCACAGTAGCGGCAGCGCAGTGTGCGGTCCTGCGGGAGGTTGCGGTGGCGGGCGCCAGGCCTGTCTCCGTGCCCGCTGTCCTTGGTGTCCCCGGGGTCCTGGGTGTCCCTGTCCCCTGGATGCAGGTGCGCGCGGCGATGCGCTAGCAGGTGTGACGCCAGCCGGAAGCTGCGCCCACAGGCACCACAGCGGTGAGGCCGAGGAGCCTCGTGCGTCCCGCGGTGCCCAGTCGTGCTGTCGCTATCTCCGCTGCGCAGGTGACGCACGAAGTTGACACGCCAGCGGAAGGCCTTGCCACAGCGCGGGCACACGTACGCCTTAGCCTGGGCCCCCCGAGAGGCTGTGCTGTGCTCCTCCTCGTCGCCAGAGCCTGACAGCACGATCTCAATGGTGACCTCCTCCTCTAGGCTGTCCTCCAGGGGTGCAGGACTAGGCGCGGCTGCAGAGACCGGGTATGGTGTCAGGGGTGCCAGGGACGCCGCTTTGCGCGGTACCCACGGCCAAGGCCCCAGGGCCAGTATCTTTCAGCCCCCCCCCCCAGTAATGCCAGCCAGTCCCCACCGTGTCGGCTGTGCATGTCCCAACCAGGGAAGAGCCCCAGCAACCCTGGCTGCAGAGGCACAGCGGGCTCCAGACAGGCAGCCCTCCCTCAACCCACGCGGCCTTGCCACACACACCAAGGTGACTGAGGGGCTGACACAGGTACAGGCTCTGCAGTTGTGCCCCGCGTCCCCTCATCAGTCACCACACACTTGGAGTCGCTCAGCCCTGGATCTGCTGACCCTGTGCAAAGGTTCTTACTCCACTACCTGGCGCCCTCCACGGGACTTTGGGTGAGAGCTCCTGGACAGGGCAGGAGGCATGGAGCTGGGCCTCGAAGTGGGGAGAAGGCCAACAGGTGTGCATGGAGGGCCTTAGGGTTCCCGTCGGCAGCAGCAGGCTTGGTTTTCACTAGAGGTGGATCTCGCAGGCGGATGGACCGGCTGCAGGCCAGGATGGCACAGGACTCACTCAGTGCCAGGCCTCACACTTCAGAATGTGACCAGTGTCTGCAGAAGGGTCCCTGAGGGGTCTGACAGTGTCATTTGTGTCCTCCTAAGGACAGCAAGGACTGTGGGGTGCACACGTGGTCCCCTCGAGGCCCTCACCAATGCCTGCACCATGGATGTGTGGCGTCTTGCACAGAGCACACTGGGGTCTGGTCACAGGGACCAGCATATGATGCAATCAGGCAAGGTGCGGGGACCCTGAGAACCCGCTGCCCTGGACTCTGCTCGGGCTGGTGACCCCAAGTGTGCGCACAGTGAGGGCTCTGCCTGGCTCCTCTTCCTGCAGCTTAGAGAGGTGTGGGGGAGAAAGGCTGAGTGCCAAGCTGTCACACAAAGGGAATGGGACTCAGAGATCACTGTCCTTGCCATGTCAGCCTCTCGACGCTGTGAGGGAACCCAAGGGGCGACTCCGGCTGAAGGGAAGAGGCTGTTGCAGCATGCAGCAAGGTCACCCTCTGGCAGGCAGCAGCGGCAGGAAAGATCACACTGCCAGACAGGAAGTGGAGAGCAGCCTTTGACCTCCAGTGAACCCAGTCCTCTCTTGAGCTCACATCTACAGGGTCCTGCACCCACATCACCAGGCTGGGGCCACAGCACTGTCCACACGGGGGAGAGAAGCACTGCCAGACAGTGTCCTGGGGCCTAGGAGGGCAGAGGATGGGGACCTGGGGCTGAGGCAGCAATGGAGTAGCTCATATGCAGTAAGGCAGGGCATCTAGCCTGGTCCCTGCCCCCGAGGCTGAGGGTGCTGCAGGGACATGAGAGGTGCCCCTGGGTGATGGTCCTGTCCCACAGGGGCGAGGTGGGCTCTGCCATGGAGTGCTCTGGTGGGTCGCCCAGTCTCTCCCACAATGCCTGGGCCTTCTGATGACCCCTGACTTTGCACCAGAATCTGGAGCCAAGCCAGCTTCTCGCACAGATGCCAAGAGCCCCATCTAGGCTGCAGGGGACCCACTTTACGTCAGAGGTGGCCGACGGGAAGCCCAGGCCTCCTGGCCTTGGACACCTCTGTGACACACATGCTTTGCTCAGGTTCCGGCGGTCTAATCTGGTGTGTGGTAGAACCTGGCTTGGTACTGAGAGTGCCTTGACTTGGGGGTGCTAAATCCACCATGCTTTGGTCTCTGCCTTGGAGGACGACTTGATCAGACGACTCAGCCCACACCATGGCCATCCCTCCCGGACAGCAGTGTGGCCTGCACTCACCATGCTCCTGGTGGGGCTGCAGCAGCGTCCTTCCTCGCCCTCCTAGGACGAGCAGGAAGCGGATGGCCTGACCTGGATGACCGCGCTCGGCTCCACTGACATACACACGTGTGCACACAAACGCACACCACATACACACCTGTCCACGACCACACATGCTGCTGCACTCTGGTATCCCAGCCAGCACCCTCACCTGGGCAGCTGCTCTGCTGGAACACAGCTAAAGGGCAGGCCTGGACCTCGGGCACCTGCAGCTCCTCCGCCGGGAACGGCTGCACACCGGGGAAGTCTTCCCAAGAAGAAGAGGACAGGGCGTCGTATTCGAGGGGCAGAGGACCTGCCATGGGGCGGCAGGAGGGCCCCCCCCGCCCCGGTCTCCGTCGCCCTAATGGGCCAGGAGCAGGGAGCAGGCTGCTCCTGGATGAGGTGAGCCATGGACTCCGGGACAGCGTGAGAGCAGGGCAGCTTCCCCCTTGGGGTTCCCCACTCACCCATGGAGGGGGCCTGGAGCGTTTCCCTGTCCTGCAGCTCAGGCAGCTCTGGGACCCGGGGCTCGCTGTCCTCTCCCAGTGAGAGGTCTGCCTGGACTTCGGGATCGTCTGCACAGAGAAGGAGGAACAGGTCTGTTCAGCGGTGGGCTCTAAGGACAGGGACAGCAACCATAGGGACAGGGACAGGGCCACACTTGGCACTATGGCAAGCATGGGGCCCTAAGGAAAAGTCAGGCCAGCAGGAAGGCTTGGGACATGGCTGAGGGACAGGGCGGTGCTCGGGTGGAGGCGAGGGGCAGGGCATGGCTGGGGGCTTGGGTGGAGTCGAGGGCCTGGCAGAGGCCAAGTCCAAGGTGTCCCCTAGGGCTGGGAGAAGAGGCACAACCAGCTCCACCACTCTGGTTAGGGGAGCCACTTTCCCTATGCAGAAGCAGCGGGCCGCATCCTGGTGAGCGAGGCAAGGGCTCGGTGCTGTTCTCCGGGCACCGCAGCGGTGCGGGGCCTTGCGGGGCCTTACCCGGGGGCACCGAGACCCCGCAGTCCTCGCCAATGATGAACTCTCCGTAGAAGCCGGTCTGCGCGGGGTCCAGGAGGGACCAGTCCTCCTCAGAGAAGCATAGGATCATGTCCTTAAACGGGGACGCGCGGGTCTGCAAGCACAGGGCACAGGCTGGCGCTCGGGCGGGCAGCTGGGCCCAGACTCCGCGCGGCTGGGTGGGCAGAGCGGGCTCCACCGGCCAGGATTCCAGCCCTGGGGACGGAGCTCGGCACCCACGCAGCCCCCACGGCCTCACGAGAAAGGCGCCCCTTACCCAGGCAGGACAAACCATAGGGCCAACACGAACACAGGCGCCCCAGACTCCTTCGAGCTGAAAATGCACAGCACTCTTGAACGTGGGTGGTGGGGAGCAGACGGCAGGGGGTGCCGGGGCACAGAGTGCGCACCCAGGATGCCCCGGCGGCTCCGCTGCCTACCACCCCACACAACAGAGCAAAGGCCCCCAGTTGGGGTTGGACACCCAGAGCTCCGCGAGGCCAGCGCCCCCACCCCCACTAATCCAACGGGCAACGCCACAGCAGAATCCAGCAGATTCGCCTCCTGAAAACTAAAGGCAAAAAAACCATCTGAAAAGCAGCACAGGAAAATGACTCCTTTCCTAAGGAGGACGAAGTGAATGGACGCAACGTTCCCACCAGAAGCCACAGAGACCAGGCAGAAATGGCACAAGAGACCAGTGTGCTAGTGCGCAACAGTGATCCCAGTACTTGGAAGGCTGAGGCAGGAGGACTGCCGTGAAGTTTGTGGGCAGCCTGGGCTCCACTGTGGGTTCAAGGCTAGCGTGAACTACATATTGAGACTGTGTCTCAAAAACCAACCAACGGTAAAAAAAGATGTATTTTTATACAATAGAGTACTACTCAGCCATAACAAAGGGTAAACTAGAGACTTTGATAAGTAAGTGGATGCAATTTGAGACCATACTCATAAGTGAAATAAATCACACACCTGTGTAAACATCATATTGACTCACTAGTGTGAGAAGCTGAAAGAAACATAGGTATATGTATATAAAAATAGTTAAGATAGTTATATTGCTGATTCCTCTGAGTTCACTGAAGATAAAGATCTGTGCTGGTGGTGTTTGGACACTGAATGCAGACGGCCTGTGCTATGGGTGTGTGATTTGGGGTGACAATGAGCAATGTGTGTACCACTGTTGCCCTGATTGATGTGTTTTGAAATTTTTTTCTCTTCTCTTTGAAATGAAATGGATTAAAAAAACAAACAAAAAAAACCTATAAAAACCAACCAAACAAACAGAAAAAGGAAAAAGAAAGTAAATGATAGTTTGGAGAACTGTCAGCTCAGACCCTGGGTCTGCTTGAACTGTCCTTCAGGAGAGAGGGGGTAAGTGGGACACCCTCAGAGGAAGAGAAGCAAGTCTGTCTGTCTCCAGCAGAAAAGACAATGGGAGAACGCTGGGAGCCAGGCAGGATCACATAGCTCCAGCTGCTCAGGAGGTTCGACGGCAGTTCAATGAGACCCTGTGTCAACATTTAAATTTTAAAAATCTGTGGAGAGGACTGGGCTGGGTTCAGTCCTCAGCACTGCAGACAAAGCAAAACAAGCAAGCCCCAAACTCCACCCCTCAGTACACCCATCTGTTATCCAAAAGAACCTCACTTCAGGAAGTCAGACATACGTGTACATATTGCATGTTCAGGTACAAATTTCCTACGTGATCATTATGTACAACTAAAATTTTCCAACAAACAAAAAAGAACCTCACTTCAAGTATAAGCATGCACTAAGTTACACATATTGTGAAACCTTTTTTTGGGTGAAATCCTTAAAAGAACTTGGATTGGCACAGGGCGTGTGTCACCATGAAGGGGTCTGTTGGGAGGACAGATGCCCAAGCCGCTCAGTGCATGTGCCAAAGCACAGTGAGCTGAGAAGAAACAAACCATGACTTGGAGCTGGGGACTCCACGCTCACACAACTGGAGAGACAGCACGCCAGTGAGGCATGCCAGGAGGAGCCCCCTGCCAGACAGGGCCAGCGCTGGGAATTGACAGCCCTAAAATACTCACTTTAGGGAAGGAGGGGGTCTGCGCTCAATACACTCCCAACCCAAGAACCTAAAAGAGAAGAGCACAATAAACCCAAAGCTGCAGAACACAGACACCAGGGAAAGGGTAGAAATCAATGCAACTGGGACACACAATAACCTGTAGTAACACTGACAAATAGGAGTGAGAAAGCACCAATGTCCCACCTTCGGGATAAATCTGGGACCACCCCTTAGACTCTGCACATGCAAGGAGGATCAGAGAGCATCACTGCAGATGACGACACACATGCATTTACCAGTGGATAGGAAACCAGGTGACTGTAAAACCCTCCCACCTGTGAGGAAACCACAATCTAACCCTCAACCCTGGCCGCAGTCACATCACAGAGTTGCAGCCCAGCCGGCAGCAATTCCGCACAGCCCTGGCCAGCGAGCAAGGGGACAGGAAACTCCAGGCTGCCTTAGGAAGCCTGAGCTGCTGATCCCAAACCAGACTGTAAACCACAGGACGGTGACCCTGGAGACAGACAGACACCCACCCCTAACAAGGCTTCCACCAAGGACCCAGCAGCGCAGGAGTTGGGGAGAGCAGGAAAGGCCCACTCGGGAGGCTGGACACTCACACACAGACACCCAGGGAGGGGCTTCTCCCACTCCAGGAAGAGAATGAGAAAACAGCAGGGTTCTCAGTGGCACGACCTGAACGCTTTCCCCAAAGCCAAGGGGCAGAGCACAGACCTCTCTCACACCGCCATGTGGTTGGGGTGTTCTGGCTGGGAAATGAGGCAAGACAGGAGGAAGGACATGGCAGAGAACAAACAGCCTTGTCAGCCGCAGAGGATGTGTCCATGTCCCAAAACAAAGCAAGACAGAAACTCAGAGGGCTCTGCTCACAACAGTCCCATGTGAACTTACAAGTGAATTCAGAAAGGAAAGAAAAAATTTGAAACAAACAAGAACCAGCCAGGCCTGGGTGCCCACGCCTGTAACCCCAGCACCTGGGAGGCTGAGGTAGGAGAATCACTTTGAGTTTGAGGCCAGCCTAGGATCCATAGTAGGCTCAAGGCCAGTCTGAACTACATGCAAGACTGTCTAAAAAAACCCAAACCAAACAAAACCCACTTTAACTTTTATATGTTAAAAACAAGGCCAGGGGCTGGGGATTTAGCTCAGTGGCATAAGAGCCTGCCTTGCAAGCAGGCAGTCATGAGTTCGATCCCTGGTACCGATAAAAAAAAAAAAAAATTAAAAAAAAATAACAGGCTAGAGATATGGCTCTATGGCCCACTGCCTGCCTGGCAAGCTCAATGTCTTGAGCTCAATTCCCAATACAAACAAAAAGGCTAGGGTGCTAGCTCAGCGGCAGAGAGCTACAGCCCAGCATGAGCAAGGCCCAGGTCTAACTTTCAGGACCCCCAAAATAAGTAAATAAACAAACACAGCAAGTGAGCTAAAGCAATACTGAAGAACAGTAAAGGGCAAGAATTGCTCTGCTTCATTTCCTCTGATTTCTGTTCCGGCAATGGCTTCCTGTGACATATGAGGGGTCTCACTAAGCCACTAACTCACCCAGGCTGGGCTCCACATTGTGGTCCGCCAGCCTCAGCCTCCCAGAGTGCTGAGTTACAGATGTGCACTGCCATGCCAGCACAAGACAGATTGATTTACCACGTATTTTATTTTTTCCCACATAGTTTACTACTGATAAAAAATTCAAGGGGCATCTGCATTGTTTCTTACCCGAGTGTGTGTTTATCAACCGTTACCTAAGAATGACAAGTTTAACAGTGTGCTCAGTGCCTGAGGGGTGTGAGCACCCAGCAGACTTCTGGGAAGTCTCCTTATGCAAAGCACTCCACCTCTGCAGACCCAAGGAGCCCCTGACCATGCCAGCCCCTCCTGTGGTACGGGAGGAGAAGGGAGGGGCAGGGGAGGGAAGAAAAGGGGCAGGTACCATGCCCACGCTCGATGTGCTGCTGCCTGCCAGCTGGGAGTGAGCAGCTCGGGCAGTAGAAGCCTGTGACAGTGAGTGCCACATGCCGAGGAGCTCTGAGATCTAGGCCACGTCATGGAGCCATGGCACCGGCCCCAGACCCATACCAGTGGTCTGGGGCCGCCTCCCCCTTCCAAGTTGGTCCTCAGCACAGCCCCCTCACAGCCCTGCAATTCTGTCACCCAGGGCACCTGAGGGACACTCACCTCGGGCAGCGGGAAGGTGGCCACCTGCTGTGCATTCTCCAGAAGGCACGTGTCCTGCGAAGCTGTAAGAGACAGACGTGCGCACCTGAACATCCAGCCAGTAGGGAACGTTGGGAGCCCCACCTCAGCCCCACCTGCATGCAGGAGGCCGAGGCAGGCAAACTCGCTGGAGCTCGGGGCTTTGAGCACAGCCAAACCCCTGTCAAAAAAAGCAAACAAACTGGGCATGGCACGCACACCTGTGATCCCAGCGCTCTGGAGGCCGAGGCAGGAGTCCTGTGAGTTCAAGGCCAGCCTGGACTACATAATGAGACCCTATCTCAACAAACACATAACAAAAAAGAAAGCAAGGGAAAAACAAAAGCAAAGCACACAACTGAGCCTGCTGGCAGTGGGACTCACTATGGAGTGGATTTACTTTCAGGTGTAAACTCCCCGGCCAGTCAGGAAAGGGCAAGGAGGCTTATCCACGCATGGGCAAGGGCAGGAGGGGAGCCAGGCGCCCCTCCCCCAGGTCCAGAATGCAGCATGGGGCTCCCTATGTGTGCCCATGAGGGCCAGCAGCGCCTCTGTGTTAGTCACACAGAAAGCCACTCTCGGGGACACAGCCCTGTTCCCAGCGGCCACCAACCAACCTAAGTGTGCACTGCGAGGAAGAAGAACGTGTAGCACCTGCACTAGGTGGAATACTACTCAGCCTGCAACAAGGTCACTCTTGTGCCAAGGCACAGAGACAAGCACTTCAGGACTTTGCTCCCAAACAGGACCTGGAGTCCATCGAGGATCAGGAGCTGTGAAGGCAGCTGCTGGAGTCTGAGGGGGTAACTCTGAGCGCCCTGCGTGGCCCACATCAGGTCGTGTCCCACAGCAGGTCGACAGCCTGCTACCGTGTAGGCAGCTGCTGAGAGCAAAGTGAGTTTTTGCCGCAGATTCGAGTAAGGGAAGCACAGTAATGGGACTCACCTTGCTGCCTGCCAAAGGACCACACTAGTCGTGCATCTGAAACACACGCACCTTCCACATGCCCAGTTAGAAAATGAGATGGGGCTGGGGTGGAGCCTCTGCCGAGCCGGCATCTCAGAGGCCCGAGTTCGGCTCAGTGTGCAGGGTCGCCACACTCACAGCCCTTGGGTCCACTGGACAGGGCGGAAGGGCACAGCACACTCTCTCTCTGGAAGCACTCGTCCTGTCCCCTGGAACAGGGGACCCAACCCAACGGCTCCAAGGATGTACAGCTGCCTGCCGGAACCTTCAGGGTCCTATTCAGCTGGCAGGCTGCCCGCCCCATAAGAAACTCGCACTGCCCCACGTGTGGACACTCCCTGCTCACACAAACTGGATGCTGCCCTGAGCCCTCAGTGCCGGTCCGGGGTCGCTGTGGTGCCCGGTCCCCTCCCACGCATGCCGTGCCACCCAGCCCACACAGCCCTGCTGCCTCGGGTGAAGTTCTCAAGGCCCTGCTCGGCCTCTCAAAGCACGCCTGCCCTGAATACTGTCGAGGCCGGGTGGTGCCCTGCACTCTGGGAGGATAAGGCAGGAGGATGGCAGGTTTGGGCCCTGCCTGGACAGCAGCGCAAGGTGCTACTCACAGTGCAATAGAGGTGCAAAGCATAGCTACCAGTGGAAACACAGCTCACTGAGAGGCCTGGGGCCCACCGCCAGCACCACAAGCACATAAAAACAAAATTAAAAAAGGAAGCGGCCAGGCCACCTGAGCTTGCTGGCAGGCTTAAGCTCGTAAACTGGAGGGACTTTGCCATGGTCTGTGTCTCCACAGTGAACGCCCTGTCCTGACTTCTGAGGAGAGGACACAGGCACTGGACGTGAGGGGCTGGTCTGGTGGCGCACGCAGGGAAACCAGGCAGGCTTTCCTCCCTTCCCAAACTTTTTCACGCACTGTGCACAGACTTCTGCCCACACCAGGGCCGCCTGGTTCCTCAGAGGCGCATTCTCTACTCTCGAGTTGGGGTAGGAGGCTGCAGTTGCCGGTCTGGACCAGGGGCAGGACCTGCCAAGGACCTCAGAGGACCCAGGTGCCCCCCCCCCCCTTCACTGGCCCAGATTCCGACAACGAACACTCCACACCCCTTCCCGTAGCCTCCAGCAACCTGAGCTGAGTCACAGCTGGAGCCACTTGTGCCCTGAATGCAAATATCCTGCCCTCCACACCTTTGAGCACTCCAGGTCAGCCCTGGATACAAAGGGAGAAGCAGCTTCCAGAGATCTGGAAAGCACAGTTACTGTCTCCATTAGGTTGAGAACTCACAGATCTCACTAAATTGGCCTAGATGGGCTCGAAGTCATGATCCTCTTGCCTCCGTCTCCCAAGGTGCTGGGATTTCAGGCCTGAGCCGCCAGGCCACGCTGGTTTAGGGAGTTTAAAAGCCAGTCCTAAGTCATCCCTACCAAACTCAAGGTCAGGCTCATCTGATGATGAAGCCAGTGGCCTGATACGCTTTGTGTGGATGTTCAAACCACATCTGGGTCCACCTGGCCAGGACCTCACTGTGCCTGCACAGCACAGATCTGAGGGTCTAAGGGAACAGGGACTGCTCTGGCTCAGCAAGGACCCAGGTGCTGGTTGATGCTGCCCTGGACCTGAGGATACAGGCACACCCACATCCCCAAATCCCCTCAGGGTGTCAGAGGGGAGGGGCAGGAAACAAACCCAGCTCATCAGGGATAGAAGCAAATGCTAATGAAGCCACCAGCATATCACAGACCCGCCCAGCCTGCAGGCCAGCGCCCCCTCCCACTCTGTCCCAGGCCCTTGCAATACCTGGGCCCTCGAAGAGCTGGCTGGGAGACCGGCTGAGGAGGCCCAGGCCAGGTGCCAGGGCCACAGGCTGGGCATCCGGGCTCTTCACAGGGTCGCTGAGGACATCCAAGGGCAGGCAGTCCTGCTCCTGGCCCAGGTCATGAGGCCCATCCCCGTCGTCAATCACCACGGGGTCCTCACAGTGCTTGCGCTGCAGTCCCCACGGAGAGAGTGGTTCAGGCTACAGGGGACCCCAGGCAGGGCCAGGCCTGTGGGCCACCCTGGCTGTCTAGACTCTGGATAGGGCTATCCGAGGGGCCACACACCACACCCAAGCTACACCCTTTAGGGAGTGGAACTGGCTCCCCCAAGAAACCAAACTCTAGTTGGGCATAATCAAGGTTAGGCAGCTCAAGGTGCAGGTCACATCTCGGCCATGCGAGGGACTGCAGGACGTAGGAGCTTGCTGTCCCTCTCCGACCTCCCTCTGACCCTGCTCACCCACTGCCATGGCCTCCCTGGCTCGCGCTCCAGCGCCTCAACAGCGGCCACAGCCTGCTCGCCATTCTCGGGCTCCTGGGCGCGCACCCAGGCCTGCACCTCTCGTGGCAGGATGGCCAGGAACTGCTCCAGCACCAGCAGCTCCAGGATCTGCTCCTTAGTGTGGCGCTCCAGCCGTAGCCACCCACGGCACAGGTCCCACAGTCGGCGCAGCGCCTCCCGGGGGCCAGCTGCCTCTTGGTAGCGGAAGCGGCGGAACAGGCGACGCGAGGACTCAGGGCTGGGGGGCTCTCCCGGTGCACCAGCCTTCTCTTCGGGGGGGCTCCTCATCTTCCGGGGCTCCTCACTCTCCTGGGGGGCCAGCATGCGGGGGCACAGGGCTGTGGGCATGATGGGGTTTGATGGGGGTCAGCGGCAGGAGACGACCCTATTTCCAAACAGAAATCACTGGCTTCAACGCTGTGCGCTCCTGCAGGTGCTTCTGGGCAGTGCCGAGTGCCGGCCTGAGTGTTGAGGTTCAGGTCAGCAGTGTGGTGTGGGTGGCCCTCGCATGTGTGGACAGACATAACTCACGAGCCCTCCCGCTGGGGCACTCCTGCAGCCTCCCCTGGTCTGCGGTGTCCCCGCACGTAGGGAGAGGCAGCTGAGGCTCATGGTACCTGTGGGGGCCAGGGCCTCGGGAGACCCCAGACGGGTTGATGCGCTGGGCAGGCCACGGTCCTCCGGCTTCCAAGCTGATGTCCCTGCCCCGGTGCTGAAACCTTTATCAAATTAGCTGGAAGAGCATGGACAGGTGCATGGGGAGAGTCACACAGCGAGAAAGGGACAGACCCAGCTGGTGGCACAGGAGGGGTTGGGACTGTCTCAAGATAGCTGCACCCAGGTTACCAAGTAGAAACCAAAGCACACTGGTTACCAAGTAGAAACCAAACCGCCGGTGCCTCCAGAGAAGCCCAACTCCGTTGAATCGCTGAGAAAAAATCCTCATCATGCCTTTATTTTCATACTTTGCAGTACTGGGGATTGAACCCAGGACTTCAAACCGAGCTACAAACCTAGACTCCAATTTTCACTAGACCGTCTTGCTAGGTCACTGAGTTGCCCAGGCTGTGCCCAAACTCGCAATCTTCCTGTCTCAGCCTCCCAGAGTGCTGGCTGGGATGTCAGCGCGCCACTACCCCAGGCTATCGCACGTTTATAAATAACCTTGACCTTTAACCCGGTTTCCAGCAATCACACTATGCAGCCCTGCTCTGTCAGAAGAGGGCCACTCGGCGTCCCCGGACACCACAACCGGGACACCACAGCCGTTCAAGCGGTTGGCAGGCACCCAGCAACGCCCCTGGGGCTGCGTTCGGCAACCCACACTCAGGCCGCCGGGCGTTGCAGGGCCGCGGGCTCGGAGCCCCGCGCGCCGCCTGCCTGGACAGGTTCCAGCGGCAGCGCGGGAAACGCGGGAAGGCGGTGCAGGCCTCCTCCGCTCTGCAGGAAAAGTTGCAAAGCGGCCGCAGGCGGCAGGACCCCGGCGGGGAGCGCTCGGCGTCCGCGTGAGCCGGAGCGCGGGGTCTGCCGGCGGCGTCGCCCCTGACAGCTAGCCCGGGCCTGGGGCTCGCGCTACGCGGCCGGGACCGCGTCGGTCTCCCCGCCGCGCGATCGCGGCGTTGCCGGTCCCGGCCTGCGCCGAGCGGGCGCCCGGGGCGGGGCTTCCCGGGCTCCGGAGGAGGGGCGCGCGACGGGGTCGGTCGGCGGCTCCCGCTCTCCGCGAGCGGCCCGCGCCGCCGCTGCTCGTCCTCCCGCGCGGCGGAGAGCGGGACTCGGGACAGCGGGGTAGGGGCGCCTGGGACTCGCGCTGCGGGCTGGGCGGCCACTCACCCTCACCGCGGGCGCCTCAGGGCGCCAGGCCGGACCGCGCGAGACGGAGCGGAGCGGCGAGGAGGAACGGCGCCCGCGCCCCCCGGGACACTTCCTGCTCCGCTCTAGGACCGCGGAGGTCTCCGCATCTCAGTGGTTCGCGCCGCCGGCCGCCGAGCCGGCGACACCCGACACCGACCCCGCGTCCGCCCCGCCCCCGGGCCTGCGCGCTCGCTCGCGGGCTCTGTGCCGGGAAGGGGTGGGAGGGGGCAGCCTGGCTCTGGAACGGCGCCGTGCCCTCCGCCGCAGGTCTCGGTCGGGTCGGGGCGCGCGGCCGAGCATGTCCCGAGACGGCGAAGAGGGCACGGGTGTGGCACGGGCAGGGCCACCGACGGGCACCCGTCTGTTGGAGTCGCAGCGTGGGTTCACCTCTCGGCCCTGCCACATCTGGTCCCAGGCGAACAGCAACCTCTGACCTCAGAGTCGTCACCCTCATAAGTAGGATCGTGCAGTCACTCAGCAAACACGCACAGGGCAAGCCCTAGGCACTCCTGGGAGCTTCATCTCTCGGTGGACACATCTGGCTGTAGAGAGAGGGCATGTTGTTAGAGCCGGATCCTGGCCAAAGGGAGATGGATGAGTGTGCAGGGCAGGCTGAGTAGCGGAGCTGGAGGGACCCTGGAGGCTGCAGGGCCTGTATGGAGGCTGGGCTTAAGGGTCCGGTGACTGCACGCCCTTAAGTCACCGACTTGGCTGGGAGGGAGCACAGAACCTAGAACGCATTGGAAACCCCGAGATGGGGCCGGGGGTACCATGAGCAAGGCCTGTCGATAGTGCCAAGAAGACACCCAGTCAAGGGGCACCCATCCACCCAGCCGCGGAGGGACAGGGGGAAGAGTGGGAAGGACCAGGAGGCCTCTGAGATTGGCCACGGGCTTCCTAGTCCCAGCGGGATGGTCCCTGCATGCAGCAATCACCGTGTGGCTTTGTGGGGCAGTGCATGCACAGGCCCTGACTTCCCGGCCTCCTTTTTTCTGCTTCACATGATGTCCCCTGCCTGCCCCAGCCCTTTTCTGACTCACGCTGGACCCCTTCTTCCGCAGCTGAGCTTCGGGTCCCCCCTCCCCCCGCTGGTATCCCCAGCTCTTCCCTGGGTCCGGGCTGTGACCTCTGCGTTCACCCAGAGCAGTGCCTGATCTCAGTGCCCTTGAGCTTCCCAGGCCTTCCGTGCTGCTCTCCATGGAGGCCATATTCATTCAGTCCCCACCATGCGCAGCGCTCCTTTTCCTGCCCCTCTTTATGTCGGCAGCTGTTTGAACTGCTGTGCGACAGTATTTCACTGTCATCGGGACTTGTGTGTCCTTGAAGGTTAAGGATGTGGAGCACTTCTATACATTTGTTGGCCATTTGGAACCCATCTTTGGAGAAGTATTGATTCGGATCATTTTAAAATTGCATTCCGTGTTTTAACGACATTGAGCTTTTCTGGAGCTTAATGCACTCTGGGTGAAGAGCTGGCCTCAGTGTCCCCCCTGCCATAGGCTGTCTCCTGGGTGCCAGTGCTGAGGCTTTGCAGGCTGAAATAAGCCCCTTGTCAATGTTCCTTTTATGTCCTGTGCTTTAGGAGTCCTACCCAGGATCATCGCCTGTGTGGTGGTGACCCCACGGCACAGGTACTACAAAGGGCTGTCTGTTATCACTAAAAGGTCTAAAAAGTTCACCATCACTGCTATCTGTATAGACTCATCCTATACTAAAGTCTTTTTGTTTGTTTTTTTGAGGTGGGGGTCTCACAATGTAGCCCAGCAGGCCTTGGACTAGTGCTGACCTTCCCACCTCAACTTCCTGAGTGCTGAGATTATGTGTGTGCCACCACGCCCAGTTTATAATGAATTCAAAATGTGTGAAGATTATGATTTTCTCTAGCAGTTTTAGACTTTCAGGTCCTATAGAAAGGTTTTCAGTCATTTTGGGTTTCGAAGGATCCTGTTTCAGTGCCCTGCATGCAGCTCTCCAGTTTTCCAGCACCACTGTGGGCGAGGCCGTCCTGACTGTAGCCTGGGCCTGGCGGCTAGATGTTCTTGGGTTCTCAGGTGCCACATTGGTCTGTGTGCCAGTGCTGGATGGCACCTCACTAGGGGTTTCAGGTTCAGAACTGCTGGTGGGACACTCGTCTTAGTATGGTCACTATGCGAAGCAGGTTGCAGCAGGCCAAGAAGCCAGGTCCCTGCTGGAAGTCACTGGGGCTGGCAGAGCCGAGTCAGTGGGCCCTGGCCCTGGCCTGGTTCAGCAATGCTGTCTGGGGAGTCTGCTGCAGAGATGCAGAAGCAAGAATGCTGCGGTTGGGCCTGAATGACAGGAGGTGGGGAAGCCAGTTTCCAGGCCAGGCTAGGGTGATGGCCGGCTTGGTTTAGAAATGCCCAGAGCAGGGCAGGGCAGGGCAGGACACAGAGAAGCGCTGGACACAGGGTGTGGAGTGAGAGCTGCCGCCTGCCCATGACCTGCAGTCATCCTGGAGGAGCAGTGAGTGGCCGTAGGGTAGGTGGTACTGCTTCCAGAGCATGGCAGCTGAGCAGAGAGCACGTGGGTGCGGGGGGGGGGGGGGATTTGGCAGGCGATCCCCCAGGCAGGTCAGCACTTGTGGTGTGGCTGCTGGGCCAGGAAACTGGGAAAGAAGGGGCAGGAGGAGGTGGAGGCAGCCTGGATCTTGGAAGGGACAGCAACAGAGTAGGATAGGGATGGGGAGCCTAGCAGGACCCTGGCTCCATCCCGGCCTGGGTAGGGAAGACTGTGCCCAGCATGGTGGCTTATTCCGCAGGTTGGCTCAGCCAGGCCGCGGTGCCCAGGCCTGACTGAAACGTGGGTGCAGGTGTTTCTGTGAGGTGTGTGGACCTCAGATGCAGCTGGTGTTCAGTCCACCGGGGCTGATGCTCCACTGGTGCAGGAACCAAGCCCAGACTGGGAGAAGGCAGGGCGTCCAGCCTGGAGCTCCACCTGCAGCCCTGGCCTGCAGTGCGAGTCCAGCAGATGGCCCCTGTTGCGCAGGTGAGCCACGCAGTCCACCATGGCCCTGGTCTCCTAGGAAGGGGTGTCTGCGCAGCCTCCTGCACATCTCGGGAGCTGCTCCTTGGACTAAGGCAACCCAGCCTCTGTCGAGCCTTTTCTTGGTCACTGGTTCCGGCTCTGCAAGTGTCACGGTTTACATCCAGAAGTCCTCAAGCCTCAGCCTCGAGCGCTGCGGGCTGGCTTGCGGGGAAACAGCAGGATTGTGAGCTCTGCTGCTGTGTGGGGCGGGGTCTGGTCCGAAGAGGGGGCTCCCGGGGCGGGGCCTGAGGCTCCGCCCCCCACCCTGGAACTGCCCTTCCCTGGCTGCCTGCGGACTTCCTGGAGGTGGCAGCTCCGCACCCAACGCCCTGTGGCGGAGGCCGCGCCCGGGGCCGGGTATGAGTCAAAGCTACCTGCGCAGCGTGCGGGCGACAGGGCCGTGAGCGGGGCGCCCGGCGTGGTCGGCTCTCTGGCGCCCCAGGCCGGCTACGGAGCTCACTGAGTCCTGGCCCGCAGTCCTTGCTCCTGCGCGACGTTCGTAGCTCACGGAATGAAGACTTATCCTTTGGGACCTCTCCCATTGCGAGGCTTGTCCACTGGCGTCCTTTTCCGAGGACCTGACGCCCGGCTCCTGTGCGCAGTGGCTGCTCACAGCTGTAGTTCTGGGAGCAGCTGCAGTAACTCGACTCCCCCTCATTCGCCGGGCTTGGTCACTGTGTCCCCAGCGTGTTCCTCCGGGGCCTTGGTTCGTGCATTCTCCCCGTCTAGATCCCGACCTGTGCCCACCTCTCAGATGTCCATTTAGAGCGCGCTGTCCGACCATGCTGCCTAAAGAATGCAGCTTCCCAGAGGTGGGCACGGTATTGCACACTGCAGTCCAGTCTACCCAGGAAGCCGATGCAGGAGGACCACAAGTTTGAGTCCACACTGGGCAATTTAGCAGCTTAGTAAGACCTGGTCTCAAAATAAAAAATAAAAAGTTTGGTGATATAGCTTAGTGCTGAGGCTCTGAGTTCATTCCCCAGTGGGGAGAAGAAAGGAAGGAAAAGCTCAAAACCTGTAACTGAAACACCCCTTCTACCTCTACCCCCAATTCTTTACCTGGGGTTCTCCTTACCACTCCCTGACCTTGCAAGTTTATTTCTTCATTCCCATATTCCATGAAAATGTTAGCTTTACACAGTGATCATATTACCGCGGGTCCTGGCATATATAGCAGGTAAACAATAAATTCAGGTTAACAAATGAGCTTCATACATTGGAGAAATTAATAAATTTCAGTGACTGCAGAAGAAACATGAACCACAATAGTTGCAGCCCTCTTTTCTTTTTTTCTTTATCTTTTTGATGTAGGGTCTCCCTGTGTAGTTCAGGCTGCTTTGAACTTACTTTGTAGCCCAGGCTGGCCATGAACTCGCAGTGGTCCTCCTGCCTCAGCCTCCTGAGGGCTGGGCTTACAGGCATGAGCCATCACACCTGGCCAGGTTCTTAGTCCTAAAAACTGATTTTTAGATCCCAATTCTAAAAAATGGTTTCTTGGCACTGAGTTTCGGTGTATCTCTTTATATTATCTTCTCAGTGGTGGTTACCTAGGTAACTTTTCACCATCTATTGACACTGATATTTTACCACTCTGAGTCAAGGGCAAGGACCTCACTTCTACTTAGGACAGGCTACCTGTCCCTGCATTGAAATACACAAACTCCTCC